TTGCCAAAAATAAATAAATGAATTTTGAAGGTAAATTTACATCACAGATTAAAATAGCTCCCAAATTGAATTAGGGTTAATTGAGCTACTTCTAAAGATGGTTTTTATTTGAACTGTTTTCACTCTCAGATCATACCAGATCAACCAGATCAAACCAAACTTGGATAATTATAAAATACACAGAGACCCGACATTTACCAGATCAGATCAGACTAGACCACAAAATTTCAATCCAAGCAAAAACATCCTAAGAGACAAAAACATATGTTTAAATTGTATATATCATAGGGAAAATGGAAACTAATAATCCAACGTTTTAGCGGTCTTCTTACAATAGTCCCACCTTTTGATTATTCAAGAATAATCCAACCTCTGCACCTCATCTTCATTCAATGGTCCCTGATCGGTTGATGATCCGCTTTTTCAAGTTATTTTCTTATTTGATCTTTGCAATATATTATACCATAAATCTCACCTTATTGTCACATAATATTTTGCAAAGACAAGAAAATAACTTCAAATAGCAGATCATCAACCGGTCACGGATCATTGAATGAAGATGGGTGCAAAGGTTGGATTATTCCTGAATAATCAAAAGATGAGACTATTTTTAGAAGAACGTTAAAAGATTGGATTATTAGTTTCCATTTTCCCTATATCATATATATATATATATAGGGAAGAGTTCAAATGAAAAGTGGTCTTCCCGTGCAAAGTGCAAAGTTTTCACTTTTTCATGTTTCGCTTGCACTTTTTCTTGTTTGCGTTGCACTTTTTGGCCATATTGATTTTGGCCAAATTCGGCCAAAATGACGGTGGCAGTTTTGTAAATAAACCAATTTTTTTGAGCTCCTGCGAAAAAGTGCAACGAAAGCAGGAAAAAGTGCAAACGAAAAATGAAAAAGTGCAAACTTTACACTTTGCACGTTAATACCACTTTTTATTTGAACCATCCCCTATATATATATATATATATATATATATATATATATATATATATATATATATATATATAGAAAAGCCAAAAAAGGAAAGCTGAAATTTTGAAGGAAAATTTTGCAATAATACGGCTATTCGATTTACTTCAGTCTTAAACCATAGTTTTTCTATTTTAATGTATTATATTATGATTAAGTAGCATTTTATTCATGATCTCAATAATCAACAAATCTTCTCTATGTTCTGAACATATAAAAAAAGTCTTGCTTCTACTGATCTGCAAATTACAAATTACAACATATTGTCGGCTAACCATCTAAATCAATTTTAGAATTCCAATACCATACTAAAAATATTGCAATACCATAGTACTTAAATTATTTCTCCCAAAGGTCACGGTGCATTAGTTTTTTTTAACATCCCAGTGCATTAACTATTCACCTTAATTAGACCAACTTATTTACATAAACGAGAGAAGAAAAATCTCTTATTCTGAAAGTGTTATATGTTTTTTGTACTCCAATTTTTTTTTTTTTTAAAATATCAAAATTAATGAGTTCTTATGATCTTTCATATGAAGCCAATATTGTATATGTAAAAAAAATCTGAAGATCCAATTTGTGGAGATTTTTAGGCCTAGAACTTTTTTTGTCAATAAAGCCCAAAACATTTTTAAGTAAATTCAAAACCTAAAATTAATATTTCATAATTTATTTTTACATTTTAAAGTTATTTTTTCAAAAAATGTCTAAAACAGTACTGAATTTCTTATTATCTATTGAATTATGAAGTGTTATGAGTGACTCTCTTATTGACATCGCATAATACATGTTAACATTGCTTTTGCAACCATTGTTTTAACTCATTAATTAAATGATAGATTGTTCATACAATATAAATAACAATTCATGCTTTTACATTACAACATATAATTCATTTGTAACGTTAAATAATATGCTTAATTATTGATTCATTATGACCGCAACACGGTTATATTGGATCCTATCAAGGAATCAACGCTATTATTTTTTTTGTTATTTCATTCGAACGTAAAATTAAATTACACCGCATCATCGGCAATACACACCACAATGACTGCAATAGCCGCAAATGCGCTAACCGCAATTGCAATGCTACCGCAAAAAGAAATCTTGATATATACTAAAGAGTAAATATATATTATATGATGATGGATAATTTTATATATATTCATTTAACATGTACAAATTTATAATTAGTTGTGGTTAGATCAGATAATAGTAAAAATGCATTATATTCAATTTTGGATCCTATGAATAATTCACAATATCTATTACTCCGGGGAGTAGTATTTTGCATTTTAATACTCCGTATATAGCAACGCGCTACCGCGGCTACCGGGGCATTGCCCCGGGCTTTACACTAGTTAGATGCTAAAGTTCTCTTTAAAGCATTTTTTCAAAACTCTAACAATTAAGTTCAATATTTTATTATTTGTGACCAACAATGATAATTATTACGTATCAAATTCTAATGGATAGTGTTGATTTTATTTACTTTAATTCTCTTTTCCTTTGAATATTTGTGGTATGGATTTATACTTTTTGATATTAACTTATTGTACTCCATTTTTTAAATGATATAGAATTCTAAAAAAAAATGATATAGAATTCTAAAAAAAAATTGTTATATTTAATTAGATCATAAACATAAATATATAAGGATTAACTGTTTTCCGTGCGTATGCACGGGTGGTGCCCTAGTATTTTAAAAAAGCAAATTCTCGATTGCTTGGGAAGATGGAAAACGTGAAACTATTGAGCCAAAATCGTTAGTGCAAATTCTAGATTTCTAGCTCTATGTGGATGACAAGTAAAGATCTCCCGTAAAAATTCAACGGTTTTTTGGTTGAGATTGAAACAATTAATAAAGTAAATACTTTTAGATTGAATTTCTATAAGTAATTGTCCTATATAGGACTAATAGTAAACATAAATGCCCAAATAGGACCAAACGTTTTTTATTCCCTAAATAGGACTCTGGATTACCATTATACCCTTTTATATAATAATATTACAATCCTAAATTTCTATCGCTCAACTCCCTGCGCCTCTCATCTCCATCACGATCTAAGCAGTTGCGCCTCTCCCATGCGTCTCTCTCGATCTCGATTTCAATGGTTCCTCTGCCGATTGACTTCGCCATTGATGGGTTGCTGGTTGTCCACAGCCGCCGCCTACTCTGGTTCTCCATCGCCACGATCATCACTCCGCTTATTCCAGGTTTTCTTCTTCTTCTTTCTTTCTCCTCCTCCTCCTCCTTCTTCTTCTTCTTCTTCTCCTTCTCCTCCTCCTTTCTTCTTCTTCTTCTTCCTTCCCCTCCTACTCTGTTTTGCATTTACAAAATCGAATTATTCACTGATTTCCTTGTTTTTTGGTAGAACTTTTCGATTTGATTCAATTTTCTGAGTTTTGCCATTAACTTTTTGGGTTTTGGGGCATTGATTTTGTAGTTCGGATTTCTGGTTTTCAATAAATTTTTGATTTGATTAAAAACACTGTTTTTTCCGATTTTGGATATTGGGTTCATATTTTTCCAAATTTATGACAGTTTCATGTAATATATTATGGAAGAAAATGTGTATTTTGAGGTCCATTTGACAGTATTGCCAATTATATGGCAGATTTTCATATGACATTATGGCAGAAAAATATTGTTTTCTTTGAAAATCATTATGAGAGAAACTGCCAATATAATGTTCATTTTTTATAAAAGATGGCAAAATTATCTTTTTATGTTGTCAACTTTTTAATGAGAAATCCCTTTCGTTTTTATAATTTTTTGTATATTGGGTTCATATTTTGCCAACTTTTGTGGCAGAAAAACGGTTACTTTGACATCAATTACAACATACTTCCACTTTTATGACAAATCTAATATAAATATTATGGCAGAAATATTCTTATTTTATTCAACTTTTATGGCAAATCTAATATATAGCATTATTTTTTAGGTAACAAAATGGAAAGTTTGCATCTACAAAACTGACAGAGATGGTTGTACGTGCAGTGGGTGGAGTGGTGGCATCGGAAAGAGCGGCGGAAACATCGGAAAGGTCAGCGGTGGCGGCACCAAAAAGGGAGGCGGTTGGGTGGTGGCGGATTTTTTTCTGGCGGCAGCAGTTAGGTGGTGGCAAATTGTTTATTGGCGGCGGCAGTTGGGTAGTTTTGTTCCGTCAAAAGCTGGGAGATCTGCTAGGGTTTTTTTTTTTGTTTTTTTAATTGTAAATAGATTAGAAATCATTAAGGGCAATTTTGTCAACTAAATACATTTTTAGTCCTATGAAATATGGAAGTCCTATTTGTGCATTTGTTTATTGTTTTAGTCCTATTTAGAGAATTAACTCAATTTCTATTTGGGCTGTCGTACTTTTGAACTGCTTTACTCCGTAGGCTGATCGGAATAGCACAACTGATTCGAAAGTTCAGGCAACGTTTGGCGTCCCTCCTTAAATATAGAAGATGCTTTGTCATATGTAAAGAAGTAAAACTTTTTGAAATTTCAGATGCTATGATTTTCTTTTTGCCGAATATGAGTAATTACCTTTAAGTTTAAAAAATATTGCATAGTGTCATGTTTAACTTCTCGTAATAAGCAAAACATGGATTTAATAACTCTTACTAACGGAATAAAAATATATTAGTCCTGTTTTGGAATACTTCTTTTATTTGATAGTAAACCGTATGCCACTTTTTTGACATTTTACATTGTACTCACTAGTAGAATTTTTGACATTCGTTGATGTTTTTTTGCTATGGATTTAGAGCATGTTTGGCACACAAAAGGTAATAGCTTCTAGTTTCTCTATTATTTAAAAAGATCTTAAAAGACTCTAGTTTTGTGTTTGGCCCAATAGCTTTTTTGAGAAGTCTAGGTCTTTTTAGGTCTTTTATGAGATGTTACGTAAGGTAGCGTTCAATAGAAAAGACCTTTTCAAATTCTTTCCTTTCCTCAGCATAACCTTCCGGATAACCTTGCGCATAGCTTGAAAAAACCTGCACACAACTCCTCAAAACCCTGCGCATAACTCCTCAAAACCCTGCGCATATCTCTTCTTCCTCTTCAACGCATTTTCTCTCTGTTCTTCAAAAGAATATGCAGGTATTCTTCTCTTCTCCTCCATTCCGATTATGTTTTTCAAACTCTTTCATCAATCTGTATTCTTAGCCAATGTGTTCTTTGATTTTTTTTTAAATTTCATTTGAGTAAATCTTATGAAAGAGAGCCTAGTAAAAGGAATTGGATACTCTGTTTTTTGTTGAAGTACAATACTTTGTTTACAAGATTAATAAATGAAATTAAAAAAAAACCTTGATCATAGGAACTGATTATGAAAAGAGTAGGAGTAACTTGAGTTAATGAACAATTGTACAGAGTATTAATCTCTTTCTTTGTTTGCTTTTACTGTTTTATTGAGATTTTTTCCTGTTTTAAATTTTTTAGGCAGCTTGTCATAATGAAGATTTCAAATTTTGTTTAAATTTATTTCCTTTTGATTTTCTTGATTGAAATACTTTGATATGTATTCTTTCTGATATGTATTTTTTATATTTTCTGACATTTATGAATAAATAATGAGTCTATGTAAGAGACATCTATCTATCTATGTGGTTATTTGTAATATTCTATGGAGAGTTGTTAAAGATATCGTGGGGTTGTTGATTTTGTTCCATAGATGCTTTTAGGCATCTTTCATTTGATACTATATGGCAGCAGCTAGCAGCTTAGGAATCCATTCATTTGCGATACTATTTTTTGATGATCTTTCTCTAAATATTTTAGCTCTTCTTATTCATTAGACAGAGGCATTAGAGTGAAAATGAAAATGTTTTAAATTATGAGATCTTTCCCATTGTATTGGTCCTTACTACATGTTTTACTTGAAGGAATTAGCTGCAGTTTTCAGCAGCTTTTGTGCACTTTTCATCAATTTTTGTGCATTGCTTATGTTGTTGCAATTTCCCGCAGGAGTAAACCTTGTTTTCAGCAGCTTTTGAGCACTTTTCAACAGTTTTTGTGCATTGTTTATGTTGCTGCAGTTTGCAGCAAGTGTAAATCTGTTTTGAGCAGTTTTTATGCAGTTTTTTGTGATTTTCTGCAATTGCTTTGATGCAGCTTTTCCTGCAGTGTTGTTGTGCTAGTTTTCCTTTATTCATTTGCTAATTTCATGTATTTTTATGCTTTGATGCATCTTTTTTCAATGAAGTGCAGTTTTGCACTTTTACAACTTCCAACAGAGATCAATTTGATCAATTTGTTATTAACCTGTAGCTTTGTATTTTTGCTATTTTTCTGCATGTGTATGTTTTGATGTAGCTTTCAGAGAAAGCAAAATATTAAACATGTTAAAATGAGGCGAAATACTACACTAGGGGTATTCAAATGTACCATTGGACTGCTATAGATACAATACACAAAAAGTAGTAATCAAATTAGAAAACTTTCTAGCCATTACATCCAAATCATAATCCAATAGTACATGAACTCTAATCAATAATAATACTACTAGTTTTAAGAGCATTATATGACATATTTTTTGCTAGTTTTATTCTCCTTTTTCTTTTTCTGTGTTCTATCTGCTATTTAGTTGTTATTATATTATTGTTTCAGTTTTTCAGTTTGGGACCCTTCCTGGTGGAAATTTTTAATGAATTTTTTATGCATGTTCTTCATCCAGTCTAGTTTTTAATTTGAACTTATGTTGTTATAATTTTATTCGTGTAAGATTCATTTTGACAATATTTATACACACTCAAATAGATGGGCTCCAAGAATGATAATCAAGAGGGTCGAAATTTTGTATGGGCGGATGATCTCGTTATCATATTTTGTGAAAAATGTATTGAGTGGATTAGGAAGAACGGCCGAACCACTAGCTCCTTTCAAGTGGAGACTAATCCAAAACCAATTTGAAGAGCATACTAAAATGGTTTGCAACACCAAGAGTTTCAAGAATAAATTTGATTTCATGAAACGAGATTGGAGGCTTTGGATTTGGTTGAAGCAGGAAGACACCGGATTAGGATGGGATCCTGTCCATAATAGACTAGACTGTACTGCAGAGTGGTGGGATAGGAAAATCAAGGTAAAAAATTATTCATTCATATCATAGTTAACATCTCAAAGCGTATAATTATTACGTTTTCCATATAGGAGAAACCTGATGCCAAGAAGTTTCGCCATAAAGGAGTGCCACCTGCGATTTTTGAAAAATGGGAAGAAATTTTTGGCGGTAAAGTAGCAACAGGTGTGAGGACAGTAGCACCGTCACAAGATGTTGAAGAGCAAGAGAACATTGAAAATACTTGTGAAGATGGTGGAAATGGGGGACCCGTCGAAGAAGCATATGAGGTGTATTCTCAATACAATGCGACATTCGAGCAAATAGAAGATGATGATTTTTGGGTTAATTTAACTCAAAACATGGGTGCAATAATTTCACAAGGTTCAAATCAAACACTTCACAAGCCCCACAAGGTTCAAAATTAAACACTTCACAAGCAAACGGGCACAAGAAAAGAAAAAGAAGAGAGTCGGGTGGATCGGTAGCCTTTAAGGAACACTTAGCAGAGGTTAATTCATTTTATGGTGAGTTATTGGGAGCTATCAAACAAGGATCAGGAACAGGTGAAAGCAGTTACGAGGGTTCAAGAATTTCATCTATGATCGATGTGTTGAGCAGAATGACCGAGGATGGTCGGATGGATAAGGGCGGTGATTTGTGGAACTATGGACTAAGCAGAATCATCACTAATAATGTAAGCAGAGAGGTGTTCTTGCGGCTCAATGATGACACCACAAGACTCGGTTGGTTGAAGATGATGCATGACACTGAGAAAAAATGATTATAATCTATAGCTATAATTCTTTTTGGTTGGTCAGACTTATAAATTGTTGTCCGTGATTACTTTGTAGATGGATTAAAATTTATTTTGTTGGGCTAGTATTCAATTGGATTTGATATCTATGCTTGTTTGTGTTCTAAGAAAGAAAACTTTGGAATTACTGTGATATATTATTGATGATGTGTTACCATTATTTCTGATGAATTAGGTGTGTAATGGAAGAGCATCAAAGGAAAGCACTTTCCTTATTTTTAGCATTATCTGTTCTCCATGAAAGTGAACTTGTTGCTTATTATTATTATAAGCATATCTACAAAGAACCTTGCATGACTTCAGCATTGACGAGAGATGCTTGGATGAGAGAATTGTTGACCGGTCATCCAATTCGATGTGTGAATGCTTTTCGAACGAGTCAAAGTGTTTTCAAGAAGTTATGTGATGATTTACATGCCAATTATGGATTAGTCCCAAGTGATAGAATATCAGTGTTCGAGAAGGTGGATATATTTGTATACACCCTAGCTTTGGGATTGTCTAATAGGGATGTAAGTGAGAGGTTTCAACGTTCGGGTAAAACTATTAGTAGAGCATTTCACGATGTTCTACAAGCAATTACTGGACGGGCAAATGGTTTTAGGGGTCTTGCGCGGGATTATGTTAAGCCAAATGATACTACATTCAAGTTCATACCAAGATATATATTTAATGATGAACGTTACATGCCATACTTTAAGGTAAACCATCTCCTAATATTTCATTTTGACTTTGTATTTCATTAGTATGCTTATTATTTACAAGAACACTAAATTATTTATGTAGAACTGCATTGGTTGTATTGATGGCACACATTTTGAAGCATGTATCCCAGTACAAGAACAACTTCCATATATAGGTAGAAAAGGCATTTCGACATTGAATGTCATGACAGCATGTGATTTCGATATGTGCTTCACATTTATATCTGTTGGGTGGGAGGGATCTGCTCATGATACACGTGTTTTTTTACAGGCAATTGAGACACGTTCTATGAACTTTCCACATCCATCTCAAGGTATGTGACTGTTTGATTTTTTATAAATTTATTTTGTATAATAAATTAAACCCGTTCATTGTAGGCCGATATTACTTGGTAGATAAAGGCTACCCTGATCGAAAAGGGTATCTCGTACCATATCCAAAGATCACATATCATCAGTCCCAATTTGAGAATGAGTTGCCCACTAATGCTGAGGAAGCTTTTAATCGTGCACACTGTTCACTCCGAAGTTGTATTGAGATATCATTTGGAGTACTTAAGAAGAGATGGAGGTTATTGAAAAGAATGCCAAAATTTAGCATCAATACACAAATTGATGTGATAGTGGCAGCCTTTACATTGCATAACTATATTCAAAAGAACTCCAATGAAGACTTACTTTTCAATTTCATTGAAAATAACCCGGACTACGATCTAAATGAAGAGCTAGAGGATGCACACGAGACAAATTCAAGTGATGCTACATATACTAACACATCAAGTGAGAAGAAGAAAGTCCGCAATAATATTGCCAATTTAATTTGGAATGGTAGTCACTAGTATAAGAGAATAACATTTGTATGAGTTGCAATATACTTTGTTATTACATTCAAATTGATTTTTGTTTTATTTTTATTAACGTTAAAATCATAAGTTTTGAGGAACCTAAAAATCACAATATTTTAATTGGGATAAAAAAATCATACTCTTTTGTGTTAGCTATGTGCATGCTTGTATTTTATTTTGTCATTAATTAATAATATTTATTCATGTCCTTAATTGTAATTTTATAATTTCAGCTACTTAAAACAGTTAGTTTTGCCAAACATGGCTATTTAAAACAATCAGCTTTTATGAAACAGCTACGATCTTTTCCTTCTGCGAGCTTTTCAGCTCAAAAAAGGTCTTTTCCTGGAGCCAAACATAGCCTTGGTAAGGTTTGCGGCAGTTACGGAAGACCTGCACCATTTGCTTCGTAAAATTTAGTGTATTTGATGTAGTCCCAGACTCCCAATGGAACCGCAACAATTCGCATTCAAAATTTAAAATTAATTCCCGTTTGTTGCAACAAGTCCAATTCAGCCCACCTCCAGCAGTTGAGATTCGCCGTCGTCACTGCTCGTTCCAGCGCTAACCGCAGGCTTCTACGTCCACCGGCAAGCGACCCTCCTCCAACATCTTATCGCGCCTCCTCTAGCACCTACTCGCGTCGTCTACCCCTCCGAGCCGCCACATGTCGCCCTTTCAACCGCGCGCAGCCGTCGCACACTACCCCCTCCTAGTGCCGTCCCTTGTCGGCTCATACTGACTTAATTTAGTTTTCAACTTTTTATTTTTGCATTTAAATGTTTTTAATTTATTGAATTTTATCAAATGTATTGAAGATTAGTATTTTTATGAAGTGGTTGAATTAGTATTGATACTTATGTTTGGATGAAGTTAATGAGTATTTTTTTTTTCAAATTATTGTGTGTAAGTTAAATTAATAAAAGTAGACATCTTTATTATTTTTCAAAGAAATGATTTTTTTTTCCGGTTAAAGCCACACGAGGCGGGGGAGTGCCGGGGAACACCTCCCTAATTTATTAAATTAAAGTTTGAGTACAAAGGGTTGAGAATCCAAATGGTGAACAAGAAGAACAATACAGAGGAAGAAATAGAAAATGGTACATCAACAATTGAAATTATTTTGAGGGATCCCAATTGAAGTCGAGAGTGATCTGTTATATTCGTTGTGGAACCTGATGGCCCTTTTAAGGTAAGGCCTGAATGTTGATTCCTCCGGACGAGATAGCCTGAAGCGCTGGAGAGCTTTTGCTAATTTTTGCGGTGAATCGAACCTATCGTCAACAGGGTAGAGAAAGTAGTCTGATTCATCCTGCGGTCTAAAAGATCAATAATGTGATAAACTAAAATTAAAATTGTCTACAATTAGTTATTCTATGACTAAAATTAAAATTGTCTACAAAAATGTGACTAGTGATAAGAGTAATAATAAAATCACAGTAACTTATGTTCAATTATTTTTAAACTTAGGTAACTGTGACACTACATTGTAGTAACTATTGGTCCTAAATGAGTTTTATTTTGGTATTCATTTATGTAAAGAAAAACCTTTTTCAAATCATTATGATATGTAGATAAACTAATAATTAATGGTTTACATTTCTTAGGGGTAAACATGTATTTATCACTCAATTATCGCCAAAAAGGAGAAGTATAAATTTAATTTGGCGCATGCCAACCAGTAAAGTGAGAATTTATTTTAGTGATAAAAAGAGTAAAGAAGAGGTTTTGGTCAAAAGATACAAGTGACTAATCAAAACATGCCCATCTCTTTTTTAATTTGCAGGTGTGTTTTTGTATAAGAAAAATTATATTCAAAATATCACAAATTTAGAATTTTGTTACTATATACTAGTATTAAATACACGTACTAATGTTCTAAAAAATTAAGAGTCCGTTTGGTGATCATGTTTTTCGGCTTATCTTGTTTATCAGCTAACATTTTCATGAATTACGTAACTTTTGATTTTCACACTGAATTATGTAATAATAAAAAAAGCAATGTTGGAGTTACTTTTTGGGCTATAGTGGTTGAAGTTACTGTAGATTATCATTTTAGATATTTTTCTATATAATTTTTTCTTTATTTTATTAATAAAAAGTGGTTTAATTTTTTTTTATAAATCAGCAGAATCAGTCGATCCAACCACTATAGCCAGAACTTAATAAATTTCAGCAGAATCATCCGATTCAATCAATTTTAGTGTTACCTAACGGGCTCTAAATCTAAATCACCCGTGTCGTCATGTGGTCACTGCATTCACCGGTGTCATCACCACCGTTACACAGATCACCAACACCACTGAAATCATCGTTGTCCATCACTCAGGTCGTGGCCTTCGCTAGCTCTGATCTACTAAACATTAAACTTTAACTCTAAAATTCTAAAATCTAAAACCATAGAGACTAGTTGAAGTCTTGAAGGGCAAGGGCTAATATATTAAATTCTGGAATGACTAAATTAACACCCTGAAAGATCTAACTTAACCCCAAATGAAGGAGCTAAATAAATTTTAATATGCATAACCTAATCCCCGAGGGCCAAAAAAATCATAGAAGGACTAGCTGAACTATTTAAAGGCAAGAATGTAAGAAAAAATCTTAATAGACATTTTGTTAAAAAGAAAAAGAAAGATGCCTAGTTGGATGTCAAAAAATAAACCGCATAGACTATATGTCTATATATTTGGACATAATTAGGCATTGATTTGTACTCATTAGACATTTCCCTTAATTGTCTAACTAACATATATTCTCTTCGTTTCAATATTATCATCAAATTTTTCTTTTCCGTTCGTCCCAAATTATCTTCTATTTCCCTTTTGATAAAAATTTGTGATTCACAACATTCTTACACATTTCTCTATTTTGCATAAGTCTTCACAACACTACAGTACTCACTATCTTAGTGTCCGTACCATTTGTGCTTCAGGAGATAAACTAGAGACATATGGAGTAGTTATTTCTCGTCTAAAAGATCAAAACTAAGAAATGTGAATAAACATATAAACAAAAATCAATCATCCACTTCCTTTCTTTGAATAGAAATCGAGCTAAACACGAGTACCTGTTGGGAAAATGTGTTAAAAATTGCATTAAATGGTCAATTTGGGGCAATATTTTGAGTGGGGTCCACTTCTGATTTGGGTCGGGTCAAAGTGGTTTCGGATTGTCCTTGTTAAGGGCTACAATTCAATATATGGTACACTCAAAACGGATAACGGGTGAATGAGGAATTGATTCTTGAAGTTCACTCGTTGAAATGGAGAAAACTAGGAAAATGATGGGTTTCTACTTTCTAGTGTGTTTTATCCCACACCGGAAAACCCAAGAGATTTTCACCCCCTTATAGAGTGAATACTCTTTTCAGCTCTAAAAACACATCCAGGAAAAATTCCTAAGTGTTCTTCTTGTGTTTCTGTTCGCCGGAACTTTCGTTTGTGTGCTCAAACGTTAGTTCGTTAGCCACCGTATCCTGGTAAAGGGTCATTGCAACGCTCCTAGCATCGTGGGAGGCGACGAATACGTTTTAAGG